ATCTTCGAATGAATATCAAATATACTGGTCTACTTTTTCACAAAAGGCAAATCCCATTCATTTTCTATATAAAAATCCAAGGAGTGACGATTCCGATTGTAAAATGTAAACGTAAAAGGTGAGCGCATTCCGTGCCATCGGCGGTACCTTTCATAAACACATGCACAGGCAAATCAATATTCACCTATTTAAAAAGAGAATACAGGAATAAAAGTAGGGATCTTATTGAACATAGCTGTTCGGATCGAGACCGGACCAGACAATCCAGTGATTGACGTCATGCATCAACCAACTGAGTGAGTGAGTTTAGTTTACGCCGCACTCAGCAATATTCCAGCTATATGGCGGCGGTGTGTAAATAATAGAGTCTGAACCACACAATTAAGTGATCAACAGCATGAGTATCGATCTGCGCAATTGGGAACCGATGACATGTGTCAGTCAAGTCAGCGGGCCTGACCACCCGATCCCGTTACTCGCCTGTTGCAAGCATGGGTTACTGAAGATCAATATTCTAACCTGACCTTCACGGGTGCATCAACCAACTGACCAAGCCTGACCACCATTCACTGGCCTCCCTCAATCAATACTTGATTAAGATCGATTCTCACACGGATGTTCATGGTTCATTAAGACGACTTTTCACGGCATAGTTTCACACACTGTCCATCATAGCGACTTGATTGTACGCCTTGACAAGAAATGTCCAGTGTCCAATGGGTTTTAGCCCTGGTGATTGTAGTTTTACGCCGCATTTATCAATATGCCAGCAACATCACGGCAGGATACCAGAAATGGGCTTCACACGTACCCATGGGGGAATCAACCCCGAGTCTTCAGCGTGACGAGCGAACGCTTTAACCACTAGGCTACCCCACCATCCTTTTAGTACCGAGACACAGAACGAAATTACAAGTCTTTAATAATTACCAATGCTACTGCCTCAACAGACCTTCAGTACAGAGACAAATAACGGAAATCCACAGGCCTTTGATAGTTATAAAATTACCCAACACAGCTTCAAGTTGGTACCTCCTATTTCTCTGACTTTGAATGCTCAATATATGCTCAATGCTGGAAGTACCCCAATAGCATTTGCCTGCTTTACAAAACCATTCCATACATGCGCACCATAATCTGACATAATTTGTAAATTCTATATCGGACAAATGAAACAATCAAAGAGTTCTCAATACTGACAACAGCAACTGAAACTCTGGGCTTCCTAACAAAATTATGAAAGAATTTATTTACAAACTTGAGAAATAATGTGTTCATAAATTATGATAACATTTTTTACTAAAAATAAAAATAGATTTCGAAAAATAGAAATACATAAAGTGGATGAAAAAAAAAAATATCTCAATAAAGCTAGACGGTTAAAGGTTGTTTTTTAGAGAATACGTTGTCTGTACAATACGTTCTACGTACCGAGACAAAAAGGGACGTTGGTACACGTCTTCTTCGCCACCCGAGGGGATAAGCTCCAACACAGTTGAGTCCTCCGTTGCTGGGGGTGGGTTGGAACAGCTTCTGGTCCTTGTTCGTATTACACAAGAACTGTTGCAAGGTGGGTTGGTCCACTCAGTCCACAGGCTCAGGCCTCCATTCACTAGAGTCAATGATAAACAAAAGTATTTTAAAAGCAAACTTGGCATTATTGTCATTGAATCCTGAAGGAAGCTACACATTTCATACTTGACAGAGTTAATGATTATTTTAGCTTCTTTGCACAGTAGTTGAATGAGTGAGTGAGTGAATTTAGATTTCAGGAATATTCCACCAATATCACGGCGGGGGTCACCAGAAATGGGTTTCACACATTGTACCTATGTGGGGAATCGAACTTCAGCATGACGAACGCAGTAACCACTAGGGCTACACCTCCCCCCAGGATAATGAGAAGAATCAACTATTTAAAGCGTCTGACCAGCGGATCGCGTTGACCGCCTCTAAGGATAAGCATGGGTTGCTGAAGACCAATTCTGAGCCAGATCTGCACGGGCCTAATTCATGAGTGGGTGAGTGATTTTAGTTTTAGCAATATGCCAGCAATATCACGGCGGGGGCACCGGAAATGGGCATCAAACAGTGTATCCATGTGGAGAATCGAATCGGGGTCTTTGGCGTGACGAGCTAACGTTTTAACTACAGGGGCTATTCCATAGAACTTATGAAGACATGCATTTGTAGCAATGGTTTTACGCTTTATCTCGACAGTCACTCACCTGGACAAGCATTGGAGGTACACGGGGAGCTCGACGTTTCAAGTGTGGTTCCGATACACTGTTGTCCGCCATTAGCGGGCGCAGGATTCGTGCAGCTTCTGGTTCGTGACCGGACAACGCTGTTGGGTGGAGCCGCAGGTGATGCCACAGGAAGGTGTGGTCCATTGAGTCCACAGGGTGAATGCTCCATTGACTGTAAATAGTAACATGTTGGTAAATAAAAGATGGAAAGGGTTCCTATTTCATATTTAGCAGCATTCACTGTAAATAGAGACATGCTGGTAAACAAAAGATGGAAAGGGTTCCTATTTCACCTTTAGCAGCATTCACTGTAAATAGTAACATGCTGGGGTACAGCGAACTGTATTTCTTGATGCCAAATTTAATACTAACCGACGATTAATCTTGGTAGAAAAGCGACAGTGTCGGTGACCTAAATTAACTATCCTCGTTCAGGGCAAACTGACGTGCTGTTCTACTTACGTGTCTGCCCTCAACATTAAACAGTTTGAAGACGGTTTACGTTCGGGTTAAATATCTTCTATATTGTTTTAGCTACGTCTGTGATTATCGTAAACCACATGTGACAATGTGAACGTCGCCAATGATGTTAGGCAAGTAGAAAACTGTAAACCAAGAGACGGGTGCTACCTAGGAGTAGTTTACTGTAGGAGGCATGGCATCGTGACGTCGGTTACCATGGGCACGTTTGATTACGAGAGGGCAGACGATAATGGCACAGTGACGTCAATACAGTGTGGCGTTATTTTAAAAGCGCCTTTGATCTTTTTATTTTTTGAAGTGAAGCACCTTAGAATTAACACCAGCGTGGTAGAAGGGGTATATTATATTAAAAAACAGTGATTTATTTTATGATGTGCGTCACACACGGTGACGTCACGATGACAATTTACTGCGACACTAGCCATTCGATTTATTTAAGGGTGCCGTTGTACAAAGCGATCTTACGCTAAGTCGACTGTAGCTCCCACGCCATCTTACGATAGTCTCAGCGCTAGGGTTGTATTGAACAACGTCTCGTTGCTCATCTGATTCATTTCAGGGTGCCGTTGTACAGAGAGATCTTTACTTTAAGTCGACTGTAGCTTACGATAGTCTCAGCGCTGGGGTTGTATTGTACAACGTCCCGTTGCTCATCTGATTCATTTCAGGGTGCCGTTGTACAAAGAGATCCTTACTCTAAGTCGACCCAAACTCCAAAAACCTTACATGAGACTTACGATTGTCTTAGCGCTAAGGTTAATCTGTACAACGACACTTCGACGATTCATTTTACTTAATTTCATTAGGGTCATTTAATTAATTTCAGTAGGTCTTCAAACCAGCACACGCCGCTCGAGATAATGTGATGCCGACGTTGAGAGTATTGTCGACATTACGATGACAAGACAATGAGCCATGAGATTTGATTCAATTTAATGGTCTTCAGACTGGCACGAGTTGGTCTGGACGGTTTCAATTCATGGAGTCTGTGAGTGTGTTTACGCCACTTTAAAGCAATATTCCAGCAATATCACGGCGGAGGGCACCAGAAATGGCCTTCACACATTGTACTCATGTGAAGAATGGCACTGGGGTCTTCGGCGTGACGAGACGCTTTAACCACTAGGCTACTCCACCGCCCCTCACTTCTTGGAACCATGGGGCCAAATGTTCCTGTGTTCTGACATGGTGTTAAGGACGCTACTTACCAACACAAGCCTGGAAGGAACATATCTGTAGCGTTATATCCAGGAAAGGTCCAGTACAGGCTTGTCCGCCGTTGCTGGGAGGAGGGTTGGTACAGCTCCTGGTCCCGTGTGCGTGTGACGTCAGTCCTGGATCCACAGGTGATGCCGCAAGGTGGATTGGTCCACTGGGTCCACAGGGTCAGGCCACCGTTGACTAGACAATGACACAAATATTGCTAGATGAGAGTATGCTAGTGCTTAATCCTAAAACAACATTCCAAATACCTACCACACCTGAGGTGAAAGTCCTACACACAGACGAATGCATGAATCTATAGGTGGGACACAGATGCTGGGAGATGAAGCCGAAGCCGTGAAACAGTAATTGCTTCCTATCTGCTTCAACAAACACGGTTGTTGTTTAACCCGCACTCAGCAAAATTCAAGCTATATATCGGCGATCTGTAAATAATCGAGTCTGGATACAACTGGATCTTCATAGGTATAGACAAGCATGGGTTACTGAAGACAAATTCTAACCCCGATCTTCACGGGTATAGACAAGTATGGATTACTGAAGACCAAACCCGAATCTTCACGGGTATAGACAAGTATTGGTTACTGAAGACCAATTCTAACCCGATCTCCACATGTCTCAATAAACACGGATACATCGAAGACAATAAGGAAAATAAACAGCAACGCCAGATAATGACAAGTCTGTATTATCCGCTAAAACAGATAATGACGTAAAATGTAATATAGAGATGATTATTATACACAGATCAGAAAAATACATGATGACTCCAGGTATTCTTGGAGAAGGTGAACATGTCTTGCTCAACAGGGTGCAACTACTGACACGTGTTGCAAAGTCTGTTTATGTTGCCTGACGATACAAGCCAATCCTCCGGGCATTGGACGGTGGCCTGTCAGTGAGTGAGTGAGTTTAGTTTTACGCCGCACTCAGCAATATTCCAGCTATATGGCGGCGGTCTGTAAACCAGACAATCCAGTGATCAACAGCATGAGTATAGATCTGCGAAATTCGGAACCAATGACACGTGTCAACAAAGTCAGCGAGCCTGACCACCCGATCCCGTTAGTCGCCTCTTACGACAAGCATGGGTTACTGAAGATCAATTCTAACCCGGATCTTCACGGGTTGGTGGCCTGTCAACACAGCAAGGCAATACTCATGTGTACATTCACTTCTTTCTCGAGACCTCCCTGACCATTTATGGGGGGATAGTGGCTGCTGGACAACGAACTAGGAGAACTTCTTTGAGAAGCATTTTAGAAAGTGTAAAGATGAAGGAAGAACTTGGTTTTCCTCAGGAGAACATAAACCAATGATCCAAATAAATTCTACACTGGATAGTTCAAGGTGTACATCACTTGCTTGATAACGGTGTTAGTAGCTACAACGAAACGTCGCACTCATTGCAGTAAAGAAATTGACTATCCACAGAACTTGGTTTTCCTCAGGAAAACATAAACCAATGATCCAAATAATTCTACACGTGAACCTAGAGACCTTTTAATACAGACATCCCCAAAGAACAACACTGACCTGGACAAGAAGTGAAGACACATGTCTGGGCCAACGTCTGTACTCTGTCTCCAGAACATCCTTGACCGCCATGACTGGGAACAGGGTTGGTGCAGCTTCTGGACCTAGACCGGACAAGGCTATTGGCTGAACCACAGGTGATGCCACAGGTAGGGCTGGTCCACTGGGTCCACTGGGTGAATCCTCCATTCACCGGAACTGGAAACATTTAGTTTATGTGCTTGATTGGCATTTTAGAAGATGCGATTTGATGAACATAAAGACTTTTCTGAGTTTATCTTCTTTTTATTATTTGATAATAGATAAAGAATAAAAGAAAATGAAATCCAGAAAATTCTTTATGTTGATAATAGATAAAGAATAATATAAGATGATATCAAGAAAAACTCTTTATGTTAATTAGTTTAGAGTTTTACAGATTTCTTTTAGCTTGATAATGGTGTAAGAATCTACATCGAAACGTTTCCCTATGTTATAAACAAGACGTTGTCATCCATAATGTTGTATACTTCATTTTGTACTCACCAGTTTCTAGAAAGTCGATCAAACAATTAGTTTACAGTGAACAACCTTAAAGTAAACAACCTTAGAAATAAAATGTTTCTTTTCGTAGTTTTATTTCTATTTCCGTGATAACCTTAGTGTTGAACTTGGTATATCGAATCTACAGGTGTCCCGAAGCAAAAGCTCGGTTACTGCGTAATCATTATTTAGTAATCATTTTGCAGCTGTATCAAACTTCGGATATCTCGAAGTATCTACGTAGGTCCATTCAAGTTCGACACAAGAGTGATAACATTCGGAACGTTCCTGTTGGCAGTGGCGTGACGTGATATGCATTACCTCCCTTTGGAAATGAAAGTGAGATTGTCTTTTTCAATATTTAGTTAATATATATAATTATGTTTAAAGATTCAATTAACGTTTAAAACACCATGAATGAGTGAATGAAG